GATTAAGGAAGACATCAGAAGATGGAAGGATCTCCCATGCTCATGGATTGGAAGAATTAATATTGTGAAAATGACCATCCTATCAAAAGCCAGTTATAGACTCAATGCAATGCCAATCAAAATCCCCATGATATTTTTCACAGAATTGGAAAAAAAACCATCCTAAGATTCATATGGAAGCACAAAAAACCTCCAATAGCCAAAGCAACCCTGAGTACTAAGAGAAATACCAAGGGGATTACTATACCAGATTTTAAGCTGTATTATAGAGCTATCATCATAAAAACAACATGGTACTGGCACAAAAATAGACCCATTCATCAATGGAACAAAATTGAAGACCCAAATATGAGTACATGCAATTTCAGCCACCTCATATTTGACAAACGGTCCAAGAACATTCACTGGAGGAAAAGACAGCATGTTCAGCAAATGGTACTGGGAAAACTGGATCTCCACTCATAGAAGAATGAAACTAAACCCCTATCTTTCACCTTGCACAAAAGGCAATTCCAGGTGGATCAAAGACCTCAATGAAACTCTGAAATTATTAGAAGAAAACTTTGGCAAAAACCTAAAAGATATAGGTGCAGGAAAGGATTTTCTAAACCGGACAGCAACTGCTCAAGAAATAAAGTCAAGAATCAAGAAATGGGACCTCATTAAACTAAAAAGCTTCTGTACACGAAAGGAGGCAACCAGGAAGTGAAGAGAAAACCCACAGGATGGGAGAAAATCTTTACCAACAACACATCTGACAGGTTTAATATCCAGAATATATAACGAACTCAAAAAACAGAGAATCAAGACAAGAAGTAACCCTATTAACAGATGGGCTAAGGAGCTGAACAGAGTTCTCAAAAGAAGTAAAGATGTCTATGTACACGAAAGGAGGCAACCAGGAAGTGAAGAGAAAACCCACAGGATGGGAGAAAATCTTTACCAACAACACATCTGACAGGTTTAATATCCAGAATATATAACGAACTCAAAAAACAGAGAATCAAGACAAGAAGTAACCCTATTAACAGATGGGCTAAGGAGCTGAACAGAGTTCTCAAAAGAAGTAAAGATGTCTATGAAGCATCTTAAAAGATGTTCAACATCACTAATTATCAGGGAAATGCAAATTAAAACCACTTTAAGATTTCACCTTACCCCAGTCAGACTGGCTAAGATCAAGAGAACATTGCAGAGACATCTGTACATCCATGTTTGTTGCTGTTCTTTTCACAATAGCTAAGAGATGGAAGCAACCTAAGTGTCCCTCAATTGATGAGTGGATAATGAAAATGTGGTTCATTTATATGATGGAGTTTTACTCAGCAGTAAAAGATGAAATCCTGAAATTTGCAGGTAAATGGATGGAACTAGAAACCGTTAGACTAAGTGAAGTAACACAGACTCAGAAAAAAAAAAAATCGACATATGTCTGCCCGCATATGTGAATCCTAGAACCAAACCTTGATAAGTGAGTATGTATCCAGACATAACTACAGCAACCAGGATAATGGAAAGGAATCAGGGAGGTAAAGGAAAAGAAAGAACCTAAAAGAGAAGAACAGTAGAAACAGGCATTAATAAGGGAGATATGGATAAAAAATTGGGTTAGTTTAACAGAGTGGGGAGGGAAGGGTATACAAGGAACCTAGGGGATAAAGGGAAAGAAGGAGCTCAAGAGAGGTAGGACCATAGGAGAAGGGAGAAAGGGGGGAAATGGGGGCACTTTAATTGGGGAAACCATGATGAAGGGGTTAGATAATGTGAGAGATAAATAAGGCCTAGCTAGTTTAATTGAACAACTTACTGACAAATTATACATAGCAGATCAAGAAATATATGTCTAGGTAAGCTTTATCTGAGAACAATTGGTCTTTGCCCAAGATGTATCTACATGGCACACAGTAATTAAAAGTACCCAGACTGGTGGAACTAACCTTCTTGGATGTTTAACAGACACTTTGAGGCCTATAATAATTTGGTTAGAGGGGCATAAAGGACAGTTTTTGCTCCTTGCCCTCCTCTGTCAACTAGTTCCAGGGGATTATGAGCATCTCCCAAAATGTCCTGTAATTGTGGTGGGTCACCTGTCCTCTTGATCAAGGAGGCCGAGGAGACTCCATGAGATGGACTTGCACCAGTGTCCAGTCTACAAAGAGGAGGCTCAACACAGAGAAACACTTCCTCCATGCTTCCAAGCGAAGCCAGCCATGGTCGAGAAGGACCTTCAACTTATCTTAACATAGGTGGAACTGGTAAAAGAATGGAGCCAAGGGCTCCTCCCAAGCCCATGTGAGCCCTGAGGAACAGATCCTCAAACGACCTTAAGAGTAAAAATAAATTGGTTTATCTGGGCCTACTGTATGGCCTTAGATACCCAAAAGGGAAGTATAACCAAAGATTTAAGGGGCCAATATAATTTTTTAAGAGTCCATATGTATAGCCAAAGGCTACATAACAAGCAACAATGCCAGATAGGAGATACCTTCTTCTGAGTTGTTGGCCAGGGTGCCCCAAGGGACTCCCAGATAGTAACCCAGTATAAAAACTGGGAAAATAAACAGTAGACCCCAATCTTATCTAAAGGAATATTGACAACTGATTGCTGCTAGATGAGGAGCAGCTGACCTTCCTAAAACAAAGACTTCTAGATAGGCTGACTAGATTCACCAGATGGACAAGTAGTAAGGAACAGCTGGTGTGCTGACAACACAGAGGACAGTAGCAGGGATAACAGAATATAAGGGCTCTAGTGGGGGGAGGGAGGCTATGAGAGGGTGCCATCTGGGAAGTGGTATATAGTTGGGTAATATTTGAAGAGGAAGCATGGAAGTTTACATCATGTTAATTAGTAGAGGTGATAAACATTACCAATGAAATCTACCCAATGACTTTATAGACATACACAGGTACCAAGGAGCCAAGTGCAACTCATTATGACTTGTAATAATCAGATACAAACAGATTAGAGATATATGTGCCAACATCTCAGTAGCAAAAATAATGAGTCTTTCTGTAAGAAATGTATATTTTAAAATGAAATGGAGATCTTTTTTAAAAGTTAAAAAATCCAGTTTTATGTCTTACAGGGCTTACACTGATCAATATTGTATAACTGTATTAATTCAACAACGAACCTAAAAATTTTACAGGCACTTTTGAAGGAGCTGTATCCTTGCTCTGGAGTGTGTTACTGAATATGTTAAAGCTGTAATGAAATACTTCTTCTAATCATGTGGTTATTAAATTTAAAAAAAATTAAAATTGAAAAATAAAGAAAAATAGGTTAAATTTACTTCAATAATGTATTTTGTTAACCCAAGATATGTAAAATATCTATTGACTTTAGTCAACAGAGGTTATTAATAAGATATTAAAAATAAGCATTTGAAAAAAATGCCAGAGATAATGCTAAAAACATCACACACACATGCACACACTCATGGACAATGAATTAAGTTCATAATGAAAATGAACTCCTAAGTGCTCACAGTTCTCCTGTTTAATAATAAAGCCTGGAAGACCAAACCCCACCTACCCAAGGCAGACTAAGAGGGAAAGGAAGAAGAGGTTTGAGTTTCTTCCCTACTGCCCTGCTCACAGTCCTGATGCCTTTATCTTCTCTTCTCAATGCCCAGAAGGACTCCAGTTGAGCAGTGATTTTATTTGTGTGTGTGTGTGTGTGTGTGTGTGTGTACTGTGGGTATGTGTCTGGGTGTGTCCCATATATTTTAACACAAATAAAGAAAACTGCAAGAAGAAGAAAAAATACCTATCATCAAAATCAAAATCAAGAACTTTAGTTTCCCTTTCACTCCCCATCCCCTTTGGCTTTTTGAGACAGTCTTGCTATATAGTCCAGGCTGGTCCATGATCCTCCTGCCTTAGACAATCAGCAACTGAACAAGCTGCCACACTTGTTCAATCCCAAGTGCTAGGATTACAGGTATGTGTCACCACACTCGGCTCAAGAAACTATTTTTGACTATTTTAAGCCCAAAGGTGAGACATACCTGCCTTAATTAGACACTGGCTCCCTGGAAGACACTAATTAAACAACTACATTAAAGACAGGACCCTTTAGGTTAAATGGAACTACTATACAATCATGTTTGTGGCCAAGGTCTTGAAGGCTACGAATACATGAAAAAAATTTTTAAACTTTAAATATATATCTACATATAAATTATTTTGTGTTCTCATGTCAATTGAGGGAAAATAAAGATTATAAGAAAACTTTTTCATAAAATTTTGATCATGAAGGGAATAAAAATGTGTCTGATGCAATGTTGACTTTTTTTCAAAGGGACAAAAATGGTATATGTCTTAACCATAAATTAGACACCTCTACAAAGGCTGACACAGGCACTATGAAAAAGGTTGTGCTTCAGAGGCACAAAGGGTTATTTTCTTTTTCGAAATTCACCTGCATTACGTCTATGCTTCTGCAAAATCAATCCGTAATTTAAACCAAGGGATACTGATTGATCAAGATCCTTCTTTAACAAAGTTTCAGAAATGAATTTGACTTGCATCAAAAACACTTTCCAGGTTACTCACCAACTTAGTGTCCTAAACCATGGAAGATCGTAGGAGTGATAGACTCTGTACCCGATGGTGATGATTTCATGGAAACATTTCACTTGGATGCCTAGAACCTGAAACCAAAACGGAAAACATGAATAATTTCTAATGTTCATATTTGTGCTGAATTATTTAAAAGTAAGTTCTTAGCACATATGTTTTAGAAAATCTTAATCTGTTAATTTATAATTATTCAACATGTTAGCAGCAAAAATGCAATATTCACTCTTTAAAAATCAAGTGATGCCTTTAAAGGTTCGGGATGGTCAAAGCACAGGAACTGGTATTAGACTTTAGAGTCTGAGGGGTAGAGTCTGGTTTTTCAGTTGACTTGGCTTCACATATTTTTTTTTTATTTCTATTTATTCACATTATTTCTCAAAATTGAATTTTTTTCTTTGAGATAGGGTCTCACTCTAGGCCTTGGGCTAGTCTGTAACTCCCTATGTCCCTGCCTCAGCCTGAGTGTTAGGATTTCAGACATATACAAACACTCCCAGCTTTAACTTTTCCATTTTTATCTCTTGAACTACCTACCACAGGAAAAGACAGCTCATGGAAGTCTGCTTGCATTCACTCATGTGTCTTTACACATTTTAGCATACTTATAAAGATGAGTGATTTCTGTAAATTAGTTTTATCAAAATTGTCATTTAGGATATTAAGCTATTTTGCCCCAAATACTTGTATGTCCAATCACATACTTTAAGAAAGTAAATGCGTCCCCTTCGCCACATAATGAAGGAATTTTATTCCACAGTAAAGAGTACTAGTAGAAAGTCATAGGTGTGTCAATGACAAGAGGATATTTAAATGTCATTTTTCAAAGAACCTCTATGTATGATATCGTCTTTTTAACAAAAATAATCACAGAATGGGGATAATGTTACAACAAAAGTGGTAAAGCCATACTATCTATAGAACAAAAAGCTTTTAAAATATCAAATGCAGTGAAGCAATCTCTATGAAAACATTTGCTTAAAAACAGCCATTAGCACTATACATGGTGTTTCACTGAATGGAGGGGAAAGGAGGCCTTTTATCCTGCATGTATTTATATGTTCATCAATTATTCCTTACAGGGAGAATATGGAACTTCTGGGAAAACAGAAAATAAAGAATTCAAAAGACTAGAATTAAAAATCTTAAAATATATTTATATCCTTCAGGGCTGGGATATTACAGAGAAATTGAGACCGCACTCCATAAAAGCACTGATAGAACTTGGTTGACCCAATGTGTTAAGAGCCTTAAAAACAACAGCCAACTCTTCAGTAGCCGACTTTACTAGTCACTCAGCACTCCTGGAAATGACTCAGGGCTTTTGTATGTCAATTTTTGACACTGCAAACAAATACCTGGCCAAAACAACAACATAAAAGGAAGAATGGCTTCTTTTGGCTCATAATTTCAAAGGGTTCAGTCCATAGTTTGAGGCTATGGTGGGGCAGAACATCATGGTAGAAAGGGCATAGTGGAATGGAACTGCTCACCTCATGGAGGCCAGGAAGTAGAGAGTAAGACAAAGAACAGCCAAGGACAGATAAAGTCCCTAAACTTATGTTGACCTACTTCCACCAACTCAGCCCCACCTCTGAGTTTCCATACCTCATAACAGTATGAATCCATCAAATTAACTCACTGATTAGAACAGACTCTTCATGATCCAATCGCCTCTCAATTAGATTTATGATCCAGAAACCAAGCCTTCAACATATGAGCCTATTTAAGGGACACTAAGTCCTAAGAGGAGAGCTAAGGATAAGAAGGGAACACAGAGTACCAGGGAAAGCCTAGGAAAACACAGATTTATGTTGGCTGGGGGACAGAACACAAGTAAGGTTTGGAATGTTGAATGTCAACTACGGCAACTTTGGGTTATGCAAATAAAAGTGCCTCTTTTTAATTTAGGAATCTATGCTAAGAAAAAAATCTTATTCATAAAAGCAGGTCTTATTTATGCTCATGTATGTTCAAGATAGTGCTACTGATTTAAGAAAAAACACAGACCATAACCTGAATGTTTATAAACAGCACAATGACTTATATAGCAGGATGCTTGACGCTCCATTAAACAGGAAAATCGATCAGAGCTGGTGAATGAAGACTGAGGCACAATATAAAACTTTTGGCATGATACTTAATTTTAAAATAGAGTACAAAATTTTAGTCATAGTACTATTGTAGCAATGTTTTTTTTTTTTTTTTGAGACAGGGTCTCCCTGTAGCCCCAGCTGTCCTCGAATTCACAACGATCCTCCTGCCTCTGCCTCCCAAGTGCTTGGATTAAAGGCATGCACCACCATGCCCGGCTACAATGATTTTTAAAGCACAAATTAAAAGAAGAAAGGAAATATATGAGCAGCAATGTTATTTGAGCAGTTGGCAATAGACTTGAGGTGTCTGGGAGTTTTCTATCTTCAAAAAAGACTTTTAATATACTTTTTCCATTCTCACAATGGAAAATAAAGACATTGTTTGAAAGTAAATTATATAATATGAATTAACAATTATTAAAGCAGTTTCAAAAAGATAGTAGGGAATTCCAGTTCCAGAGGATCCGATGCATTCTTCTGATTTCTGTGGGCATTGCATGGCACAGATGCACTTACATGCAGGGAAACACTCATACACAAAAAAGAAAATAATGAAAATATTAAAAAAAATAAATTTTATATGTTCATAACTGCTTTGGTAACTACACCATTTAGAAAGCATGATTCCAAACTGTGAACACAGCAGTCGAAGAATGGTAACAGGAGCGTGAAGGGAAACAAGCTCCCTTTTTTCCTTTATGTATAATATATACAGAAAAGCTAGATGAGTTCCATCTAATAGTAGCCAGCATTTCCTAAAAAATCAGGGTTTTTTTTTTTTAATTGTTGGTTTACCTGGGTTTTAGGGGACTATTTGGGAGACTTTATTTTTCTTTTGCTTTGTCCTTTTTGTTTGTTTTTGGTACCTGAGATAAAGTCTCTCTATGTAGCTCCAGGCTGGCCTAGAAGTCACTATATAGACCACACTAATTTCAAACTTGGGCTCCTCCTGCCTCAGTGCTGTGATTACAGGCATGTACTACCAGAGTTGGCTAGAAACAGGTTTTCAATAAAACTATCTTGAATTAATTATCATAGAGTGTTGACATGCTAAAAGAAATGCAAGGTGGGTATAACATGTACCTCTCAAAGCAGAAAAGATAGATTTAGAAATAGGAATATAAATAAAACTGAACATGTACAGTATCAGTTGAGTATCAGCTACTGTGTATCAGTCACATCCTCTCAACATAAATATGGCATACAAATAGTATATGTATGTGCATGTAATAAAGTATAATTCACATATACTTTAGATATTTAAGATTTTTATTTTTTCATTGATTAAGCTCTCCAAGCAAAGCATATAACTTGCAAAGAAAGAAAAGCCTGGATGTTTCTTTCATACCAGAAAAAATAAGGAAGTGTCAAGTAATTTAGGTAGGTTTATGATTATATTTTAAAAATAAGGATCCAGCTGTCAGCTTGCTCTGCTTCGGTATGATTTACTCCAGCAAAAGGTGTCCCTTGGCCTGTTCATGGTGGCTTTCGCGCCATGGTGTAGCTGCAGCTTCCAGCAGTGAGACTGAGGATGAGGACAGCATGGACATTCCCCTGGATCTTTCTTCTTCAGTTGCCTCTGGCAAGAGGAGAAGGAGGGTCAACTTGCCCAAAGAGTCTGTTCAGATTCTTTGGGGCTGGCTTTACAAGCACAGACATAATGCCTACCCATCAGAGCAAGAGAAGGCATTGCTGTCCCAGCAGACACACCTGTCCACACTACAGGTTTGTAACTAGTTCATCAACACTCGTTGCAGGCTCCTCCCTGACATGCTGAGAAAGGATGGCAAAGATCCAAATCAGTTCACAATTTCCCACAGTGGGACCAAGATTTCTGAAGCTGGCTCTATGGAGGCTGCAATGGGTATCAAAAATTTTGTGCCACCTCTAGAGGGGAGCCCGTTTCATTCCTGCACAGCTGGACCCAGCCCCACTCTAGGGAGGCCATTGTCTCCTAAGCCCTCATCCCCAGGATCAGTTTTGGCTCGCCGATCAGTGATCTGCCATACCACTGTGACTGCATTGAAAGATGGCCCTTTCTCCCTCTGCCAGTCAGTTGGTGTGGGACAGAGCAGAGTGGTCTTTTCAACACCCCACCCCCTACTCCACCTGACCTCAACCAGGATTTTAGTGGATTTCAGCTTCTAGTGGATGTTGCACTCAAATGGGCTGCAGAGATGGAGCTACAGGCCAAACTCACAGCTTAACCCTTTTCCAAGCAAAACAGTTCTCAAAAATATGGTCCTGATTGTCAGGGTGATGGCAAGAGATGCATTATTTTATATATATATATATTTTTTATTATCATTTGCACATGGGATTGCTAAGAAGCAGCCTCCTGTTACTGAGATATCTTCAATGGAATAGACTCATTCCAAGAACTAGAAACTCAAAGCTACTGTAGAAACAAAGGGATTTCTTTTAAAAATTGTTTCTTGGTAGATTTTTCATAATGTGAGATGGTTCCCAATATCATGTGCTCTTTCCCCGCACCCTTTCCCTTTTTTTTTTTTTTGGATTTTGTTTTCAGACTGTGCAATACTTAAAAAACCTAGAGCGTCTTTTTGTTCCCATGTGGAACAGGGTGCCCACATACTGTCTAATAAATAAATTTTCGGTTTTATAGATTCAAACAAGTATGAATCTAGTTGTTGGATGCCTTTTTCATGATGCAATAAAGTATTTTCTTTAAAAGCTAAAAAAAAAAAAGATCCAAAGCTGCCTTGGTCTACATAAAGAGTTCCAGGACATCTGGGGCTACAGGGAGACCCTGTCTCAAACCACACAACAACAAAAGTCAGGATCCAACCAGGTATGGGGGCATAAGTCTGTGATCCCAGCACCAGGAAGGCTGAAGTAGAGGACTCCAGCTAGCCTGGCCTACATAGCAAGTTAAAGGATCTGACTCCAATTTTTTTTTTTTTTAATTAGGATCCAGGGACTAATGAGATGGCTCAACAGTTAAGGACACTTGCTGTTCTTCCAGAAGATCCAAGTTCAGGTCCTAGCACAATCACACATAACTCCAGTTGCAGAGGATCCAGTGCCCTCTTCTGACCTTCATGGGCATTGCACACACATGGTACATTTACATGCCAGCAAAATACTCATACATAAAAATAAATACTTTAAAACTTATTATTAATAAAGGAAAACTCCATCATGTTGCTCATAAGCTTATCAGCTCTGAACCAGATAGAGTATTGGGGGAGGAAGACAGGCAAGATGGGTAATCACATTATCAAGTAGGCAAGAGGACAGGAAGGTAAGTACATAGGGAGAGGCTGTATTAACTGGCATGAGATTAAAAAAAAAAATAGCGCAGGCATGCACTGGGAGCAGGTGCCACAGTGATATCAGTGGTGACTGGTCAGGGGCAAAGAGTTCACCTACAGGGCCCTGTCATACTCTCAACTCATCCTTACATAATAGAGACAACGCACACCTCCAAGAACGGCTGCCACTGTTCATTGTTAAGCCATACTCGGACCCCTGGATAAAATATGCTGAACAAATAGATTTCTTCTGGCTCCCATTACTGTGGTGTATGTTGATTCTCTGTGAAGATCCCCCCAGACTCCTCCCTTCATGTCCATGACTCCTACTAAACCTTGATTGTAGGTCACATGCTTTGTGCAAAGCTTCAAGAAAGTGTGCCAGCTCTTTCTCTGCTCTCAGAGTACTATTCTTTATTTCAAATTCTGCAGTTTATAATTAGATGTAATCAGTTCTTCACAATGACATAAAGACAAAGATAGGGATGTTTTTTCAGCACCACTATTAACATACCCAGAAGTAGTGTAATGCCTGGCACACAGCAGTCATCTTAAAGGCTCTTATTAAATGACTGAAGTAAAAGCTTAAAGTGTCTATTTGCCTTCATGACATAACTACCATGCATACTTGGGTTCTACTGAATGAGTAAACTGAAGTTTTCAAGCAGAAAAGATAAGCCTAGATCATTTCACAAACTAGAAAATGCATAAACTAAATTTTCTGTTACCAAGCCCTGGGTTACTTTATTTTTATTACATGCTCAAATTACTTCAATGACATGTAAGCATCGAAAAACAAAATGCACTCACTCACCAGAAGCATCAGCATAAAGGACCCCATATAGATGATCAGGAAAAACAATGAAATCATAGTCAAGGTAAGAATCCCACGAATCCACCAGTTTTTCCATCTACAAAGAAAATGTTTACAAAGTTAGCATGTGAAGCAGTTTTAAAGTTTTTATATGAGTGGTTTCAGTATTGAGTTGCTAGACTTGGGAATTTAAATGTTCTTTAAGAATAGCCTACTTCATTTTATGTAATAATGACAAACTTGGAGCTAAATTAAAATTTTAAATTATGTTAGCCAAAGAAAGAGATTCTTGTTCAATGTGAGCATGGATGAGTCATGAGGATGGGGAGTTAGTGATCGACCCAGAGTGGAAATCGGAAGTCCTACTGGGGACCACATGAAAGCAAGGAAGAGCCAGGAATGAAAGTCTTAGAAGATGCTCAGCTTTGAAGAGTCATAGAAGAGGGACTGGAGAGATGGCTCAGCAGTTAAGAACACTGGCTGTTCTTGCAGAAGATCCGGGTTCAAATCCCAGCACCCACATGGCAGCTAACAACTGTCTATAACTCCTGTTCCAGGGGATCCAACAGCTTCTTTTGTCCTCCATGTGCACTGCACGACATGGGTGCACTTACCTACATGCAGGCAATATACACATACACATAAAATAAAGATAATAATTTTTTTTTAAAAAGAGTCATAGATGAAATGGTGATTCAAGCAGACAGTACAGACAGCAGACCTGTCACAAGGAAAAAGGGAGAGGTGTACTTTTTCTGATTAAGGGCAAGGCCTTGAACAGAAAAATAAGTTTTTATCCTTCAGTGTTTGTTTGTTGGGGGGCAGAACATCCCTAAGGGTACAAGCAGCTGGTTCCTGCTATGCTGAAGATGGGTCTCCCTGTGCCTTCTGCTGTAAGGTCCTAGGATGCCCATCAGTCTCCTCCTCTCACACTGTACCCTTGGTGTACCCTATTATAATATCCTTTTGTAATTTTCATGCCTACTCATTATGTGATCATACAGTGAGGTATTCTGGAAGCCACCATACAAAAAACCCAGAATGATTCTAATACATGGACAATGACTTCTAAATCACCTTATTATGTCTAAAGCTGGGTGTGGTGATGCACACCTGCAGTCCCAGCTACTTGGGAGACCATGGCAGGGGCACTTAAACCCAGGAGTTTGAGGTCAACCTATGCAACACAGCAAGACCCTATCTTGGAAACAGGCTCTAAAAGCACCTGTATTTGGATGATTTCTGCACCCAAACTTGCTGCTGCTTTTCTTTAAGATTCTAATGGTTTTACCATGTAAGCTTTAGGTACCACAAAAGTTGGAAGCGCCTGTGGATTTCTAATTTATCTTTCCTACGTTCCCACTGATTCAATATGTTCTCCGTAAGTCCTACAAGTGATCCTTACAAAAGTCCAATGTCGTCCCCTACATGTGTTCGATGCACATTGTAGGAATTCAAAGAATACTTGAAGTGAAGAAATTATTTACTTGAAGCGACAACATATTATCCTCCAAACATTGACTCCTCCCTCCTCTATTACTGATCGCCTGTTAGGGGATGCTGCAACAAAATATAAACGCACCTTGCACCCAGTATGTGCTCAATAAATATCTGATGCATTATTGAATTAACAGATTAATAAAAACTCTAACTCAGAAAGCTTAAAAAAAGAGTCTTAGGGAAACCAAGATGGCCAAAGGGGTAAAGGTGCTTGCCACACAGGCCTGATGGCCTGAGTTCAATCCCTTAACTCATAAAGGAAAATAGAGAACAGACTCCACAAAGTAGTCCTATGACTTCCTCCATACCTCAGTGCTGTGGCATGTATGTTGTCCCCCACCAAATACTAATTTAAAAATAATTTTTAGAAAAGGTTTATTAGTTTTCTTATGAATGCAACCAAAATATCTGACAAAAGGCAAGGCACAGCCCTGCAGGGCAAGGAAGGCCTGACAGTGGAAGCAGCTTGGTTCAGGGCACCAACCAGGAAGCAGAGAAAGGGGCGGGCCAGTGCTCAGAGGGATTCTCCTTTTCCATTTTACTCAGTCTAGAACTGCAGCCTGCAGGACTGTGCTGCCCATCTTCAGGGTGGGTCTTCCCTCCTCAGCTAACCCTCTTTGTAAACACCTGTCCAGACATACTCAGTTGATTTCCATGATCTAATGAGTTGAAATCATTTGTGTTGGTTAAACCAATTACCAGTGTTATTCTGTTCATTCTAAGCCTTTGTTGAGTCACTGCAAGGTGTGCCTCACTAATGCTCCAGGTATTTATAAATCAAAACAAACTATCAAAATTAACCATCACACAACTTCTATTAGTTCAAATAAAAACATAAATTTATGTCACAAAAGATTTTGATTCCATTTAGTCTAGCAACATAGACGCTTTTTACTCTAAGTGTGGGTCCTCATTCCTGTTTTACAACAGAAATATTATCTGGGTCCATCTACTCATAAAATACTGATTAAATTCCTTGCTTTAACCACTCTCCTATGCTATATGGTGGGTCTTATTTTTTATACACACAAAAACCATGAATCTTAACTGTACCATTAGAGTGTGTATGTACGTGTGTGTGTGTTGCTGGGATCAAACCCCAAGCACAGAAGACCCATGCACACTTGGCAAGTGCTCTATCCCTGAGCTACAACCTCATCTTTTATCCTAAATTCATTTTATGTCATTTCTGTACCCAAGGATCTAAAATGTTAACATTAATTCATGTCTTTTTGTCAGTTTCTTAGTTTTGTTTTTGTTTTTTGTTTGTTTGGTTGGTTGGTTTTTGCTCTTTTTTGAGACAGGGTCTCCTGTAGCCCCAGCTGTCCTGGAACTCACTATGTAGACCAAGCTGGCATTGAATTCACAGAGATCCGCCTGCCCCTGCCTCCTGAGTGCTAGGATTAAAGGCACAGTTTCTTATTTTTTTCATGAGGTACTCAAGTTGAATTTATCCCACTTTATTTTCCTCTATTGTTTAACAACACATGTAGAATCACAGATTTTTTTCATGAGACTTTAAGCTTCAGGACTAACTAAAAATAAGTGCGGTGTCAAAAATACAACAACTGAAAGGGTCCACTTAATTTTAAAGACATAACTGTTTGCAGATTAATGAATGGATTAGAAAACTGGGATAAATCACAAGGCTAGTTAGAGGTAAATAAAGGGCCTTAAGACAGGGACTGAGGATAATCCATGAAACCCAGAAGTGCATTCAGCCCTCCCTAGAGAAGAGCAAATCACTCAAGTATCTTAAACCAGCCCCAAGATGGGTGCTGCCACCCCTCATGGCAGGCTCTGAGCTAAAGAGTACAGCAGCTGCTGAGAACTAGAGGCTTTAAATAGGAATCTACTCTTGTCACATCATCCCAAATTACACAGTAACCAAAACCTGGGTCCTTGGGAACATATTCTACCTAGCTACCTTTAAAATTATTTAATTATAATTTTAGTAAGCAAAATCATGGGCTTCACTGTGGTATTTTCACACACACACACACACACACACACACATTCATTCCTATCTGCCACCCCACACACACTGCTGTTCTCCTCTGTCCCTCTCCACATTTTTTGGTCCCTTCTTCCCCATCAAAAGTCCCTCCTCTTTTCATGTCACATAGATTCTACTACCTTCTCTTGTTCACTCACTGCCTTTATAACTCCTCCTTCTGTCTTTCAAGCTTACTTACACACACACACACACACACACACACACACACACACACACACACACACACACAGAGAGAGAGAGAGAGAGAAATTTAAAGCTAGATTTGCATTTGTCCACATCGCCTTATTTCACTTAATATGATCTCCAGTTCCATGCATTTCCATACAAATATAATTTCATTCTTTACAGCTGAGTAAAATTCACGGTGTATGTTCACCATATTTTTTTTTACATCCACTTCCCAGAGCGCAACTCTCCCATAGCCTCACTGCCCCCGACTTGAGCCCTTATACTCTGATATCCCTGCTACTGTCTGCTGTTTTGTCGGCACCCCCAGCCATTCCCCACTACTTGCCCTTCTGGTGAATCTAGTCAGCCTATCTAGAGGTCTTTGTTTTAGGAGGGTCAGCTGTTGCTCATCTAGCAGTAATCAGTTGTCGATATTCTATTGGATAAAATTGGGGTCTGCTGTTCATTTTCCCAGTTCTATGCTGGGTTACTATCTGGGAGTCCCTTTGGCCACACTGGGCAACTCCTCAAAAGAAGGTATCTCCTGTCTGGCATTTTTGCTTGTTATGTAGCCTTTAGTGATGCATATGGACTCTTAAGAAATTATATTGGCCCCTTTGATCTTTTGTTATACATTCCTCTTGAGTGTTTGAGGCCATACAGGTGGTCCAGATCAACCAATTTATTTTTAATCTTAAGGTCGCTTGAGGATCTGTTCCACATGGGGTCACATGGACTTGGGAAGAGCCCCTGGCTCCTTTCTTTTACCAATTCCACCTATGTGAAGATAAGTCAAATGTCCTGCTTGACGATGGTTGGCTTCACTTGGAAGCATGGAGGAAATGATTCCTGTGTTGACCCTCCTCTTTGTAGACTGGACACTGGTTCAAGTCCAT